AAAATCAGACCTGAAAAAAATCAGGCCTGTACGGGATTCGAACCACTGACCTCTGCGATACTAGTGCAGCGCTCTACCAATTGAGCTAACAAGCCAACTGGGAGCAGGCCGTTAAGTTGATTCGTAATAAACCCGTGATGATAAATCAGATACGATGAATATATGAAGTTCATATATTTTGAACTGCGGTTATAGATACGTATGATGCACGATCCTCGCAGTAGAGAGCGCTATTTATGCAATAGCAAAAATCAGACCTGAAAAAAATTTATTTTTCAGGTCTGATTTTCGCTATTGCATAAATAGCGCTCTCTACTGCGAGGATCGTGCATCATACGTAAATGTGGTGACGTCAGTGTTCTCAACCAGAACTTATAGGTAAATAACATATTTATACACGAATTACGCTTAGACTTCCTTTCTCTTTACTTTTTTTCTGCAGACAGGATTAAATAGCGGCCGTAGTTTTGGGGTAGGGCCTGAAGAAAACTATATGTCCTGGCTTTCGCTCATCGCAGCTCTGTACTATTTATCGTTTTCTTGTTGTTTACCTTTAAATGGGACAGTCACGAGAAAACTTAAAACAGCAGACTGAGACATGATTCAGTGAACCAGTTCGAGTTGCAGAAAACAAGCGTTAATTTTACCAATGACGAATTAAAAAAATTACGGATAAACATCCTGTTTCGTTTGGCAATCGTTATATGTTGAATTACGACTTTGATTTGGAATCCTATACTTTTGTCATAAAATAAACGTAACGACGCTTACCTGTATGGGAAGCACACATCTGTGGTAGAAAAATCACAAAAATGAGTGACAATGTTTCCATGTCGGTGTTTACTCTGTTTCTTGTGGTTACATTTGTGTGTATTGTCTTTCCAAGGTTAAGACTGCACAAGACAAAACAGAAAACATATTTTAAGACAATTATTTAAGAGAGAAGTTGGGGCGTTACTCTATGACAACAGAAACTGAAAAAAATGGCTTTGACCTGAGAACAACCACGACATTTGAAGCTATCCATGTATGGAATTGGCAGGTGTTTGACACACGAATCGTTCTACTGTAAACTTTAACCTGTTCCCTTTTCCATTACTGAATTGTCTGAAATCGGTATCATAATGGTAAAAGCAAAATTTCTTTCTTTCTTCACAAGTCCTGTGTTTGATGCGGCAAGAAAATATGGCTCTATCTTGCTTTTCTAATTTAAGATATGGTCACTTATCTCCAAAGACGATCGATTATGATATCAAGATCTCTGATATATTTTTTTTTTTAATATTTGCCGTGTTTCTTTGGATTCCGTGAGGCAAAACAACGAAATTTTTCCTCCAGCAAAAACAAAAGTTTTGATAACTTCTTTACTAAAAAGACACAGCATCCCAAATTTAAAAACTAACTTCTTTTATTCAAAACAATAAAACAGTAGGCTGGTCGGTATGTTGTGCTTTGGCCGTAATTTATGATTACCACCGACCAGTTAATGAGAGAAATCTGTGTCAATAGCGTGCAATTTCCTTACCTAACGTGGTGACGTTCGCCGGTTCATCAGTAAACTCCTTTTTTCGCCCGTTAGGTTGGCTATGTTTCATTTTAGTCAGGCACAATGAGGTGATGTAATGTGGCCCTGAACGGAAGGTCACACTGCCTGAATTACCAAACGTTGTACGCTGCCATGGTCTTCAACCAAGGAATCTTCGCCAAATTTATTGTCCCGTGTAGTTTTACCTGCAGTTATGTCAATTCATAGTACTTAGCTCCAAAAAGGTTTTTCGTACCTAGCTACAGAGAAAGACGGGTGACCAACATCACTATAGTATGTATGGTTCTAAACGGATTGTGGAGTACAACTCTAAAACAGTGTTCCTATTGAGTTGAATTGTAGATTAAGAGTGTGTCTCTGTAAAAGCGGTCCGGTCAATTTTGCTTAAGACACAGATTTCCCTCATTTCTTGTGTGTTGTAAGACATTCATGTGCCTATACTAAAACCACAATCCGTTTGATCGGATCTCCTTATTTTTCAAAGTTTTACGGAAATGAAATTTCACTCGAGCGAAGGCCTGTCGTGACACTTTTCAAGACTTTAATTTGAGACAACTTTGGAGGACAATTTAAAAAAAACTACGGAACTCAGCAAAAAACAAATACCACAGCCATGTATATTAATTCTATCTTATCCATCGAGGCGACTTTCGTGAACATCACATTTCAATCAAAGAAACAGGAAGACTTGAATGACACCTTATCGGTTCGCTTAAGTCACACACGCGAAAACCAATAAAATTTAAGGTAAATTTTTGAAAAAGTGAGGCGTTCTTAACTGATCCAACTAACATAGTTAGGAAGTAGATGCCATAGAAAAGGTAACTACAGAAAAAAACTTTGCGGCCCGACCTTTACGAAAACTTTATAACTCC